GGCAGGCAGAGCAGCACCCGGGGGCTCTGCAGCCCCAGGGACAGGGCGCAAGCACAGTGACAGGTTGCTCTGAGGTCTGCCCCAGCGCCGAAGGGTTTGGCTACAGCACACCGACGTGCACCCCACGCAGCAGGGGCAGGTTTCACCAGCTCTTTGTCTGTACCTTCCCGGTCCGTAAACGGGGGCAAAACACTTCAGTCACAAGGCGCAGTGAACATCAGTTTGTTCGTACTTGGTGCGGCTGTCAGGCTGAACGTGTCCTGAGTCAAATACCCTTCCCTGCTGGCTGTTTCATGTTTTTCCTTTCGTGGTAACGGTGTTTCAGGAACAGGTTATCTTCTGCAAGAGATTTCACGCTGTTGTGACTCCTTCCACCTCAGTACACATTTTTGAGTCAGCAGCGTGGTGTACCAGAAGGGAAGTATGACTTTTTATGCTGTATAGAGTGTCCTTGGGGAAAAAAAAAAAAAAAAAAAAGGGCAGAATAAGCAGTCTCATCAATTTCCTCCCATGGTCTTGGTTGCAATAGTTTGAGAAAAGGCAGATATTTATTCTTTTCTAATTCTAGACGTTTTTCCCTCACAAAGGTGGGCCTGGCTCTGGCAAAGGTAGCCAATGCGAATGGTTAGCCAAGAAATACGGATTTACTCACCTGTCTGCTGGTGACCTTCTCCAAAATGAGTTATCGTCATTTTCAGAGAGAAGCACGTTGATCAAAGACGTCGTGGAATGCGGTGAACCAGTGCCTGGTGTAAGCGACCGTTTTATTTGGGGCCCTAATGGTTCAACCAAGGCAGTGGTAGGTAGATTGTCTAAAAGGGTGGAAGTAAGAGACTAGAGCTGATGATTCCCACGTAAGTAAAATTAATCTGCAACTTGAGGGAGAAGTTTCCTCATTGCCAGACCCGTGGCACTTCTTTCCTCTTTCTGTGCCAATATTTCTTTACGTTTCAGACTCACATAGCCAACAAATTAGTCATGAAATACAGCGAGACAGATGCTGCGCTATGCATTGCAAAATATAAGTACAGGAAACAAACTTTATGTCCATTTCATAGCTCCACATTTCAGATTCAGAGCTGGTCCTCCTGGCAGCTATTCTGATTTACAATACCTGCACAGCTCCCCGCAGAGCTGGCTGGCATCCCAGAGTAGCTGGACTGTAGTTTAATGGAGACTGAAGACAAAGCGTGTTGTTCTCAGCTGGACTTGGCTCTTACACGGCAGGTCCGCAGCCCCAGCTCCGGGTGGGTCTTTGGCCAGCGCAGCTAGATCATAGGGTGTGTTTGCAGTTAGACACTGGGAAGTGCTGCTCAGGGGAGGCTAAAAGCTGTGCCGTGGCTTGATTTCAATTGCTTTGCTCTTTGGTGTGTTTGGTCAGATGAGGTCTCTTATCACTTTCCATGTAATAAAATTATATCAATGATGTAGCAAAGTGCAGTCAGATTGGAAACTGCTGCAGCAGCGCTCCAAAGCTTCACAGGTATTAGCATTAATTTTGAAACTCTGAAATGTTCCCAGCTATCTAGAGGACACTTTGGGAACTCCTGGATGGGCTGCAACACTAGGTTTGTGTAGCATAGCTGGTCCTGAGAGAATAAAAAGTAGGGTGCCCTGCTACCTGCAGGACAAGAACACCACCTGCATTCACAGGACCTGCTTTTAGCAAAACAAGGGAGTTCTCAAGGGCATAGGACTAAAGTCAGTGTAAAAACCAAGGGTCTCTATCTTTCTTGTTAATTAACCAAGTAACTCCCTTTCTTTCCAATGCAGGGTATTGTCCTAGAGCTGCTGAAGGAAGCCATGGTTTCCAAGCTAGGGGACACAAAAGGGTTCCTGATCGACGGGTATCCTCGGGAGCTGAAAGAAGCAGAAGAGTTTGAGAGCAAGGTGACCGTATATTCGTAACACTGTTCTGTCCCCTCTTACAATAGGACTGGACTTCTGATGTTGCTTGGGTCTCCATCTTTAGCAGATTGCAATGTACAGAGCCAATCCAACAGCGTTGTCTGGCTGAGCGCTGAAGCTTTGGCACCCCATCAATATAGCAACTCCAGCTGATTTTACCCAAATTTAATATAAACTGGGAACAATTCACATGTAGAGGAAAACACCATATTTAGAATTAGTTTTCTAATTCTAGTGGGTGGCTGCTGTACTTCTCATGAGAATCTCACCAGGCAGCATGTGATGTAGGTTCGTGAAAGCATGTACCTTCACAGTTAATCTCTCTTTCCATTGCTAAAGCTTGCTGCCACTTTGAAACAGCAAACCACGGATTTGTTTTTTATGATGAGTAACAGGTGGCATAGCCATAAAAAGAGCGTTTCGCAAGTGACTGCGTGGCAGTTCAGAGAGTTATCGATTTCTGTGTATGTGCTAAGACCTACTGAGAAGTCTCAGCTGTACATTTCTCAATCTGCAGAAAATACTCTGTGTAAGCCCTGTGAATGAATTTGCCAGGGTTTAAGAGAAAAGAAGCGGTGAACTAGAGGAAACAGTTAAGTATATATTCTATTAGGTTACATTCCCCAATGTCTTACACAAGTTTGAAAGGTAATAAAATTTAATGAATCCCCTGTTTTCTCTGTGAACCTTTAGCTGCTTTATTTAGTTGGTTGTCACAAAAGCCTAACAAGACTTAGGCATCAGAAGCTGGACAAAATAATGGGCAACAGGATTTGCTATAGAAGCCATTCACAGAAATGTTGATCTATTAGTGCCTTTACTAAAGGCCACAGACTAGTAAAAAGACATTGGAGAATTCTTTCATTTTGTGCAGGAGGAGGAGCTATTTCAGCAGTGCTGCCTTTCTGGCAGGCGTACGTGCCATGTCCTGTGAACGCTGGCGTATGCTGCAAAGTAGGACTTGGAGGTTGGAGCATCCTGGCTGAGGCAGTGCCAGGCAAACAGGTCTTGATGCATCCAGGGCAAAAGCAGAGCCCCTTTCAGTTCCCTCAGACACCATAGCAGCAAACAATCCTGTAGCCCTGAGCTGCCTTTGGCACTTGGAGTCAAACACAAGGATCCCAAGTGATAACTTTGAATGTGCCAAGTCATCCATGTTGTATCCGCATGTCCACATCAGTTTTCGCAGGGTGAAGCTGGCTGGCTGTAAGCTGCTCAGCCAGTCTGTGAAGTGTTTTTAAGTGAGTCATTATGGAGATAATTCTTTGCAGTTGTTTCTAAAGGGCGATGAGAAGTTCTTCCTACATTGTAATTGAATGAAAAGATGTAGACATCAGGCTTTATTAATTAATGGCAGCAAAGTGCAAATGAATAATGCTACATATGTACATGCTGTGTAAAAAGCATTGTACTTGTTAACAAAGAGCTGTTCTATTTAGAAGACACAGGGAACAGTGCTTACACTGAAAAGCGTGACAGCCCTAAATAGAGTTAGCTGTGTAGAAACAGCTTTTTCTCCAGCCAGTTTTGCCCAATTCCTTTCTATGATATAATTGCACTTTTACCTAGCTGTAATTCTAGAGAGCTGTGTGTCTCTCTTTGCTCATCAGTCTTTCTCTAGCTGAGAAGTAGAAAATTATATTAAATTATAAGTTCCACATCGCCAGGTGGAAGACACCCAGTGAGACCAAGTAAAGACCCAATACATTAGACTTACTCAGCTTCCTGCAGGTGTCCCCTCAGCATGCATTGTTTAAGCTAAATTGTGTCAGGAAAACAGAAATTTGGGGAACAAAAACCCCAAACCAGTAGTAAAAATTGCTGTAATATCTGATGGGGCAATTACTTTTACTTTCTACAGTTCTTAACTCTGAAGAATGACATTTCGGTAATGTTTTGCATTCCACAGAACAGCAACATTGAAACTTTGAAGAGAACCATACAGATTTTTCAAAAGCACATCAGACCCAGTCTATCAAACAAGATACCATTGCCTGATCCTGCCAGTCAGTAGACTCCCTTATATCCTCATTGTAAGGTGGTGATGTGACTATAACTGACAAAAGGAGTCATTCCTCATTTACTCTGTTGTAATTTAGAACAGACCATGGAATTCCTCATGTGGAGCTGGGAGGAAATAACTCCTCACCATCCTAGTCCAATTATACAAAAAGGACATTTGTTTGCATCGTTGATTAAGCCCACTTCTTTTTCAACTTCTCGATCTAAGTCTCTGGCGCTGTTAGAACTGCCTTGCTGACTTTTTTAATCCCCAAACCCAATCCTGCTGCTGCTAACGGCATTAATTAACAGCTTCCTGAGCTGTGGGGAAACAAAGGATGGGTGAAAGCCTGTCATGGATCAGTCTGACATAATCCCTTGGCTTCAGCTGTCTCTTAGCAAGTCATTAGGGTAGTAGGAGGGTCAGTATAATCCAGACGTACCAAGCCAAATGCAGAAGGCCCAACATGAAATATTTACCTTTAGAGTATTTCTTGCTTTAAGGGCTGTCCACAAGGTAGCAATGGCAATTTCTGTACAGCAGTCATTTGGACTTTCTTTTCGGTAGCCATGGTAAAAGTATGAATTTCTAATGGTCACTAGTGTGAAGAACAATCATCTTTTCTCAAGACCTTTCAACTCCTTCCTGAAAGGTATTCTCCAAATCACTGCTAGAAAGGGAAGGAATGAGAAAAAGCCCGAGAGCCTTTAATACATAACTACATGGAAAAATACACTGAAGGATTTAATACATAACAGCATGGAAAAATTATCACACTGCTTTTCTCAGATCGTGTAACACCTCTATTTTACTTGATAGAGTGGAGTTTATCCCTTTAGACTGAGCCCAACAGTTACTGCTCAGACAAAACCTGGTGTCAGCGGGAGCTGTGCCTGAGCAGGGTGCACGACAGAGCATATTGCAAGATTTAAGCTAAACGACACACGCATTTTTCAGCATCTCAGGGAAAGAATGACAGGGATTTGTGTTTAGAACTTTTGGCTCTCTCCTAAAATACTATAAGGAACATTTTGTTCTTTCTTGCCAGTTCTTTTTCAGCCATGAAGTACTGCAATGTCTACAATCAAATGTAGATAGTGACAATTATTTACTATCTTTGCCAAGGCCTGGGAATAAAAATAAATAAATACATATTTATTTGCTTTGTAGAAAAAGGGCAGACTCTCCCTTATGACTCATTTGGCACTAGCCAAAGAGCACTAAATGGTGGGCTTCTCATAGAATTTGGGAATTACTCACCAGTTTGAAAATGCAGAGAAATGGATCACGTCCTTCCTTGATGCCATGGCTAGTGATGATGTAGAGCTACACCACAAACATTGACATAAAATAGTGTGTGACAGAGTGATTTGCAGCCTGTATTCCTGTGCATGTGCCCAATAACAAGCATTTGATGGTGTCCCAGAGCCCATCTGTGGCAACTCATTTCTGTTTCACGTGAGCACACTTTAATTTGGACATTTCCTTCTATTGCCTCCTGAAATGCTAAGCGATGGTTTACCACTCTCTGGGTGAAAATACACTCTTCACAGACTGAACAAAGCAAAGGCTAGAGAAATAGCTGTGTCAGGCATTCCATGAGTCCAGCGCTGTTTGCATCAAGCTTTTATCAAGCAGTTGCAAACTGATGATTGCTGGTCCAAGCAGCCGGAGTTTTTCAGATTGTGTCTCTCTCTGTATGTGTAGAGCCCAGCCAAGCACAGCCTTGGTCCTGAATACAGGGATCTCTCAATGCTGCCACAATAAGAGGTGTTTGTTGATAAGCCTAATTTCTGCATAGATAAATACAAAAGTAACTTGCCAATAAATTCCTTGATGACTTTTTTGGTGTCTTTTCTTTTTAAAATTATCCAAACAAAATCAGTTTTGTCAGGGCAGTGGTTTGAATACTTACTGGTTGTCTTTGTCTCTAGATTGGAGAACCAAAACTTGTGTTCTGCTTGGACTGCTCTGCAGAAACCATGAGCAGTCGCCTTCTGATGAGGGATGAGAGCAGCCAGCGCTCCGATAACGCCGAAACCATCAAGGAAGGAATCGAAAGCTATTACCAAGCATCAAAGCCTGTGATTGCATACTATGAAAGGAAAGCACAGTTATGCAAGGTAAATGGCTTCACCTTTTTAATTAAGTTATTGCTTTTTAGTTCCATTATATGAGCAATATTTGGAAAATACTGACACAACACCATTTATGAACTGTATTAGCTTCTGCACTTTACAGTTTGTTCTCATCTAATGCTTCCCTTGTTTGTTTGCAACATCTACAAACTTCTGAGTTCCACAGTACAAATTGAAAGAATAAAAGCAGATTTATCCTGCGTCTGAGAACATATCCTGAGTCACTACCTCATCTGTATAGAATCTCTTATTAAACATTAATACTCAAAGCTTTTCTTCAAGTATTAGGATTTATTTCTCTATCAGGGCTTTCAGAATTGGGATGAATGATTATGTTAATCCAAAACCCTTTAGTTAAATTTACAAGACTGACAGTGTATGTCCTGAAATAAAACAGCCTTGCACACAGGAAAGATCTTTCTGCTGGAATAAATTACATAGTTGTATTAATTGCAATGAATTACCTCGGTTCACGCCTGCTCAGGATGTGATATTTAAAGCATTCTTTTTATTCTCTAATCAATACTTTACAGAGAAGCAAGAAAAATTCCACCAGTGCAATTAACTGATGTATATGCTGGCACATCTGTAAACATATTTACATGGGATGTTTATATTTCTTTTTCTTTATTTCTCTGCTCTGTCACAGCAAACTGTCCCTCATATTTAGCTACAAAAAGATCTAGTCCTACTGATCCTTCTTGTCCTAAAAGGAGAAGAATCCAGTGATAGTTTCTGAAAATATTATGGGGACTTTTTTCTGGAGGCTGTAGCAAACACGCAAAGCCCATCTCACAAAGCTTTCTCCTCTGCAGAATTCCCAGCAGAGAAACGTGCAGTTAATTTATGCACGCGTACCCCGACCTGAGAGCCGAGTAAATGATGTAGTCCTGAGAAAATGGATACTCAGAGGGAGGGTCCCGATTTGCGTCCTTGGCTAACCCCACAATAAGCACACAGAGGGCAAGCTCTAGAGTGGCAGAAAAAAAATCCCAAACTGCTTTTACTTTTTAAGCTTAAGAAGAATTATCTGGTTTTATTTGTGTTTTCTTTGACGAGCTGCCTCGCAAGGATGTGTCTGGTTAAGAGCTCAGTCCAACACCCAGTGCACCAACACAGTGCGGTGCAAAGGAAAAGGGAGTGCTGTGTATCTCCCAGACCGCACTGCAGCGAGCTGTGCCTACCACGGCCTTTCCCTTTTGGTGCACCAGGGCAGCGACAGCCCCGAAGAGAATGCAGCTGCACTGAACACTTCCACACAGCTTTCGCATTCACCGTCTGTCACCTTCCGCTTGACGTGGACTCTCCTTGCCCTTCCTTAATACTCCTGCTGCACATTTCTGCTCCATCTCCCATGCGATGGCAAACCGTGCAGTCTTTTCTTGAAAGCTTCTAGCGACGTCCTCCTTAAGGGACTTGCCTAGTCTGTGGGTCAGAACTGGGTATGTGCTTCGTACTCTCCTGTCGTTAGTTTTTGGGGGGACTGACACTGTGTGTTTGCATGTTAGAAAATACTCGTACATTGCTCGAACAGTGCTTGCACTGTTTTTCTTACAGTGTCTGTACACGGTCTGTTCCCACTTCTGGTGAATGTCAGTGCTCAACACGCTTCCGTCTTCTGGAAGTGGAACTATTGGGTATGAAGCTCTGTAAAATCAGCTTTATAAACGTTATCATGTAAAGTGTCCTTTTAAGGTTGAAAAATGTGTTCTATTTTTCTTGAGTAGAGTAGTTGTTAACAGTAAGTTGGAAATTACCTTTCCAATTAACTTTAAAAAAAAATCATGTTTTGGGGATACAGGTTACTGTTCCGCGGTTCCTTTCGCAGTCAGTTACAGACACCCAGCTGCCGCTGCGGGCACCGAGTGGGTGCTTTTAACAAGGACCTCGTACTGGAGAGGCATGGCTGAAAGCACTGCTCACAAAGCCACCAGCTGCCTGAGTCTGTGGGAATCAGAGGTTTCAGACGAGTGAAGTGAAATGAAATGAAATGCCCTGTGGTGGTTGCAGTCAGCAGGTAGATACTGTTGGTTTTGAGTTAATTTCTCAGTGATTTCCAAGGCAGCTGGGCAGAAAAGTGCGTCTGAAAATTTAGTAGGCACCTGCTTGTGTTTTAACGCAGTGAAATGTAACTAGCTTTGGATATACAGCCCTCTGTCAGTTGAGAAGAAAGGGAGGAAAAAACCTGGTTGTTTTTAATACCTGACTCATCCTTTAAAGCCTTTTTCAAGTGACAGTGTGTGGGAGGGTAATAAGTAACGGAGAAGAGTAACGCATCGGTAGTCACACAAACCAAAACTGATCCTGCCCAGCGAACGCAAGACACCTAGGTGGTGTCTGAAATACAAGCTCCCTGTTCAAAGCCAGCTGAGGAAAAGGGGTGTGAGCGTAACACGTAAGGAGGCAATCCAGAGCGGAGGCTGTCCAAAGCCTTCACTGCTGCAGGTCACATGCTCTGGGAGCTTAGCCTACAGAGTTCACCCAAAATGCATTCTGCTTTTCCTTTTCCTTTTTCTTTGCTTTTGCTTTCTCCTTTTTTCACAGTGGTGTTCTACTGTTCCTTCCTAAAGCCCGTAGAAGTCGCATGCTGGAGGAGGCCAGCACAGGAAGCACTGGGGCTGTCGTTAGTCACGCTCATCCACATTTTACTGTGACTGTGAGGAAGTCAGCATTCCAGCCAGTCATGAAGGGCAGCAATTTCCACGCTTAAAACCTAATTCTTCATCCCAGCTGCCTAGATCTAGACCTGAGTATCAGTCCTGGTTCTAGAAGAGGTCACTGAAAAGCCCCTGGCAGTCAGCTGTGCTGAGAGGGTAGATCGGTTAGCCAGTGCAGGGGTATTTATGGATTAAAGAGATCATAAAAGTACATACTGAGGCAAGAGAGCTTTGAAATGGCTGTGGCCTTCACCCTGTGTGTTTCCCGTGGGACAGCCATATGAAAATAGGGGTCTCGGCAGTGGAGCCAGACAAAACAAGCTGCTTTACAGCAGCTGAGGTGGGAGCTGCTAGTTTTCTGTAACCGGAGGCAGTCGGCCTGAGGTCCAGGGTGGTTCACCATTCCCCTTTTCTCTTCGCTGCGAGTAGGTAACCCCCTCCTAACCCTTCTGTTTCTGTGGCACAGAGAGCTTCAGCAGCCCTGCAGCCCTTGTTGGAGAACGGACCTTTCTAAGGCACCGCCTGGTGCCTTATCGCAGGATATTCCAGCGTGGGCACAGCTCAGCCTCGCGTGACGCAGCCGTGTCGGCAAGCACCAGCACGGCAGCGAGCCCGGGGAGCCAGAGCACCGTGCTTCAGGGGCTGGCGGGGGGAGAGGGTGGTGCCCTCGGGCCGGGGGGTA